CTTTTGTTTTTATCATAACCAAAGTTCTACATTACAAGTTTGATAGCTTCGTTCTTTTGTTTTTATCATAACCAAAGTTCTACATTACAAGTTTGATAGCTTCGTTCTTTTGTTTTTATCATAACCAAAGTTCTACATTACAAGTTGGATAGCTTCGTTCTTTTGTTTTCATAATAACCAAAGTTCTACATTACAAGTTTGATAGATTATTTTATAAGAGTAACGATCAGTCCCTTATCGTAGATTGTGGGTGGTAGGGTGATACTTACTAGCTTCCTTTTCTCTAGTCAGTAGTTCAGAATTAAGGACAGATAGTTGTTGTAGCTTTATTATAAATAGAAATTCTTGTATTGGTTCTTTTCTGATTCTGGCTTCAAATTTATTTTTGACACATTTTCATTTTTATGTATCTATCATATAGTTTTAAAGCTTCCACTCTTTAGATGTGTAGAATGCCATTATCATTTCAAAATAGCTTGTTTCATTAAGTGTGTTTTTCTTAAGCCTCTTGATAACATAGCCAATTTATTTTGTATCATTCTTTTGTGTACCTATCTAAATTCTGGGGGAAAACCTTCTTCTTATAGCTATTTGAATGTTACAAAATTCCTATCCAATAGAAAATGACCAAATTTTATATCTCTGTTGTCGTATCTACAGATCAAACTAACTTTATTCTATTTTGTGTCGTCGTCACTACAAATCAAGGGGACTTTAGCCTAGTTTATGTTGTCGTCACCACAAATTAAGGGGACTTTAAACCAGTTTGTTTTGTCGTCACCACAAATCAAATGGACTTTAACCCAGTTTGTTTTGCTGTCACTACAAATCACGTGGACGTTAACCCAGTTTGTGTTGTTGTCACTACAATCAAGTTTGATTTGTAGATACGACAACACAAACTAGGCTAAAGTTCACCGTTCACGTGATTTGTAGTGACAGCAAAACAAACTGGGTTAAAATCTACTTGATTTTTTATAGTGACGATAAAGTTCGTTTGATTTGTAGATACGACAACACAAACTAGGCTAAAGTTTACTTGATTCGTAGTGACAACAGCACAAACTGGGTTAAAATCTACTTGATTTTTTGTAGTGACAATAAAGTTTGTTTGATTTGTAGATACGACAACACAAACTAGGCTAAAGTTCACTTGATTCGTAGTGACAACAGCACAAACTGGGTTAAAATCTACTTGATTTTTTGTAGTGACAATAAAGTTCTTTAACCCAGTTTGTGCTGTTGTCACTACGAATCAAGTGGACTTTAAAGCAGTTTGTTTTGTCGTAACAACAAATTAAACGGAATTTAATGTGTTTTGTAGCTTGTGAATGTTTGTAAAAAAAGATCACATAAATTGTGAGTCAAAATTCCCTCTTAACGAAAGGTTAACACTTGTGGTTTGAGAAAATTGAAATATAGTAAATTAAGCATATGTGTCTGTGTATAAATTTACATATAAAAGATTAAATATCACAGAGTTGTACGTGAGGCCACAGAAGTAAACGTCGACATGCGCATTGGAATCCATACTGGTAACGTTTTGTGTGGTGTATTAGGCTTACGCAAGTGGCAATATGACGTATGGTCTGATGACGTCACACTAGCCAATCACATGGAATCTTCAGGAGTTCCAGGGTAAGAAACCATTCACTTGATGGCTATAAAGTTTGAAACTTACTAGTTACATGTTTTGTTTGCATTATCCCCTCTATTTAAAACAATGAAATTAAAGTAACAATAATCTTTATTGGAACATTCGTAAAGAATAAATATTGTTAATACAGTGTCTATTTTATTAATAAATGTTACAACAAATGAAACAGTATTTTAAAAATATCCATTTAAATGAGCAATACACCCTTCTGGTCATAACCTGACCTCATCTACAACCCATTCTCCTAGTGATAACCTAACCTCATCTACAACCCATTCTCCTAGTGATAACCTAACCTCATCTACAACCCATTCTACTAGTGATAACCTAACCTCACCTACAACCCACCCTTCTAGTGATAACCTAACCTCATCTACAACCCATCCTCCCAGTGATAACCTAACCTCATCTACAACCCAGTCTCCTTGTGATAACCTGACCTCACCTACAACCCACCCTTCTAGTGATAACCTAACCCGACCCCTATTTACAACCCCGCCTGTTAGTGATAATCTAACCTGACCTCACCTACAACCCACCCTTCTAGTGATAACCTGACCTCGTCTACAACCCATCCCCCTAGTGATAACGTGACCTCATCTACAACACATCCCCCTAGTGATAACGTGACCTCATCTACAACCCATCCTCCTAGTGATAACCTAACCTCATATACAACCCATCCTCCCAGTGATAACCTAACCCGACCCCTATTTACAAACCCGCCTCTTAGTGATAACCTAACCTGACCTACAACCCCGTCTCTTAGTCATAACCTAACTTGACCTCAACTACAGCCCATTCTTTTAGTGATAACCTAGCCTGACCTCATCTATAACCCCGTCTCTTAGTGATAATATAACTCGATCCCCGCATCCAATTTAGCTTCTTAAATAATGACCTAACATGACTCCACCTACAATCTCGCTTCTCAGTGAAGAACTAACCAAACTCCACCTAAACCCATTTCTTAGGGCTGATTTAGGCTGGTCGCAGTACTAGCCCAATTTGGTATCTTGATAGTGATTTTAAACTTGATTTATTCACACTTAGATGAAATTTCTAACAAAAAAGGGCACATTAATTCTCTTCTATGCTTATAGGAACAAAATGGCTTTCTTGTACACTTATAGGGACACGGTGGCTTTCTTGTACACTTATAGGGACACGTTGGCTTTCTTGTACACTTATAGGGACACGGTGGCTTTTTTGTACACTTATAGGGACACGCTGGCTTTCTTGTACACTTATAGGGACACGGTGGCTTTTTTGTACACTTATAGGGACACGCTGGCTTTCTTGTATACTTATAGGGACAAAATGGCTTTCTTGTAAACTTATAGGGACACGGTGGCTTTCTTGTACACTTATAGGGACAAAATGGCTTTTTTGTACACTTATAGGGACACGGTGGCTTTCTTGTACACTTATAGGGACACGGTGGCTATCTTGTATACTTATAGGGACAAAATGGCTTTCTTGTAAACTTATAGGGACACGGTGGCTTTCTTGTACACTTATAGGGACACGGTGGCTTTCTTGTACACTTATAGGGACACGGTGGCTTTCTTGTACACTTATAGGGACACGGTGG